ACAGCCATGGACGTAGAGATGGCTTCCTGGAAGTCCATAGGCACCTACGTCGACGAGGTTCCCCCACCTGGGGTGAACATCGTCAGTGGCATGTGGATTTTCAGGGTGAAGCGGCCGCCGGGTTCTCCGCCTGTCTTCAAGGCGCGTTACGTGGCTTGAGGCTTCAGTCAGCGGCAGGGAGTTGACTACTTTCAGACCTTCTCTCCCACCCCAAAGATGACCACTCTTCGGGTGCTGCTGCACATAGCCGCTCAGCGCGACTACGAGCTTCACTCTCTTGACTTTAGCACAGCTCTCCTGCAGGGCAGCCTGCACGAGGAGATCTGGCTGCGCCGCCCACCTGGCTTCACTGGGTCGTTTCCTCCTGGTACCTAGTGGAGCCTCAGGCGGCCAGTCTACGGTCTCCGCCAGGCGCCCCGTGAGTGGCACGACATACTGAGGACTACGCTTGCGGCTCTTGGGTTTGCTCCTTCTACAGCCGACCCGTCGCTGTTTCTGCGCACCGACACCTCTTTGCCGGCGTTGTACATCCTCGTGTACGTTAACAACTTGGTCTTTGCCACTGGTGACACTGCTGGACTCGCCCACGTGAAGTCCGAGCTGCAGAAGAGACACACGTGTACAGACCTGGGTGAAGTGCGCAGCTACCTTGGCTTGAGATCACCCGGGACAGAGCACAGCACACCATTACCCTGACTCAGTCACACATGGTGCAGTAGGTCCTTCAGCGCTTCGGCTTCACGTACTCCTCGCCTCAGGCCACTCCTCTGTCTACTCGCCACTCGCTTTCAGCTTTGCCTTCGGATGAGTCCGTAGAGCCGAGTGGCCCGTACCCAGAGCTTGTTGGCTGCCTCATGTACCACCGAGCTGCCGGCGCCGCCGAGCTGCTGCCGAGCCGCCCGATCCACCCGAGCCGCCCAAGCCGCCGCGCCACCTGAGCCGCCAGAGACGCCGGGTCGCCGAGCCGCCGAGCTGCAGTTGCTGCCGAGCCGCTGTACCGCCGAGCCGCCCGAGCCGCCCGAGCCGCCGAGTCGCCGAGCCGCAGTTGGTGCCGAGCCGCCGTACTGCCGAGCCGCCCAAGCCGCCCGAGCCGCCGAGTTGCCGAGCCGCCGAGCTGCCGAGCCGCCCGAGCCGCCCTATCTGGTAAGAGCAGTAGGTGAGCACGAAGACCGGTGCACCTGCAAGGTGTGGACACTTGTACCTCTCGTGCTTCACGGATGCTACCTGGGCAAGTGACACCAGTGATGCAACATCCCATGGTGGCTATGTATGCTGTGCTGGAGGGAGTCCAGTGAGTTGGAAGTGTAAGAAGCAAGGGGAGATAGCTCACTCATCAACGGAGAGCGAGTACATGGCGTTGTTTCATGGGGTGAAGGAGGTGGTTCGGATGAGACGTTGCTTGAGGAGTTGGGGCAGGAGCAAGAGGGTCCTACACCTGTGTTTTGTGACAGCCAAGGAGCAATTCCAATGGCTCGCAATGGTGTGCTCCATGGGCTGAACAAGCACATGCATATCAAATGGCATTGGGTGAGGAAGGAGGTGAAGAAGGGCACGGTCTCCTTGCACTACTTCAACACTACCAAGCAACCTGCAGATTTTTTAACGAAGCGGCTTGCAGAGGATCAGCATTGGACCTGTGCCACCTTGTGTTACATGTCCTTCAACTAAGGGGATGATTGGGCATCATGAAGCTTCAGGATGGAGCTCCTCTTCAACCATTATGGGCTGCTTGAAGTGATGGATGGAGAATTGAAGAGGCCTACGAGCGAAGGAGCGACCAAAGAATGGGATCGCCGGTCCAAGGATGGATTCTTCCTTCTCTCCCAATGCCTCTCATCCAACCAGCTGCACCACATCAAGCATCTCATCAAGGAAGCTGAATGTGGTCCGAAGGCATGGAGGATATTGAAGGACGTCCATGCCCCCAGCAGCGAAGCAATGGTGGTGGTGCTCGAGCGACAACTCCAAGTGGTGAGCTACTGCCGAGCCGTCAGCGCCACCCGAGCCGCCCGAGCCGCCACGCCACCTGAGCCGCCCGAGCCGCCGTACCGCCGAGCCGCCCGAGCCACCCGAGCCGCCGAGTCGCCGGGCCGCAGTTGCCGCCGAGCCGCCCGAGCCGCCCGAGCCGCCGAGTCGCCGAGCCGCCGAGCTGCAGTTCCCGCCAAGCCACCCGAGCCGCCCTGTCCGGTAAGAGCAGCGCCTCTGTCACTGCACTGCCCTTACCCCACTATTCGCGCTACTAGTCTACTGCTGTCATGGCTACCCCTAGTGTCCTCGCTTTTGACGCTGAGGGTCGTGCCATTGACTTTGACGTCTGGGTAGATGACCTGCAGCTTTTCCTACAGTGCGATAGGGCAGACGGTCTCTCCCTCTTTGACCTCACCTCTGGTGCCTCTCCTGCCCGTGCTGCTGATGCTGACGCCACTGTTCGCTCACAGTGGGCTACGCGCGATGCTGCTGCACGTCTTGCTTTGCGTCGCCACCTGCCTACCTCTGAGCGGGCGCACTTTAGCTAGTACAAGAGTGCTCAGACCTTGTACGACGCTGTAGTTGCGCGCTACTCCTCCCCTGCCACTGCTGCACTAAGCCGCCTCATGCTACCGTACCTCTTCCCTGACCTTGCTGCCTTTCCTACAGTCGCTGACCTCATTACGCACCTCCGCACTAGTGACACTCGCTACCGCGCTGTGCTTCCTGCTGAGTTCTGCGCCAAGAACCCCCCCCCCCATGTACATCACCCTCTACTACATAGTCACCCGGCTCCCTGACTCCCTTCGCGTAGTCAGGGACCACTTCCTCTCAGTTTGCCCCACCACTCTCACTGTTGACCTCCTCGAGAAGGGCCTCCTAGCAGCAGAGAAGAGCATAGTCGCTGTAGGAGCCTCTCGTGGTGACCCTCGCACCCCCGTCTTTGAGGGGTGTTCCCCCTCCCCCCTTTTGCCCTTTGTTGCCTCTGCTGCTGCGGCCGGCCTCGTTGGTTTCGAGTCGGTCGGCGCTGCGTCTGCCTCGAGCGGGAGACGCCGCATCGGCAAGAGCAAGGGGGGCAAGGGTGCTGGAGGGGCTGGCGGGGGTGGCGGAGGTGGCGGTGGAGGCAGTGGAGGGGGTGGGGGTGGTGGTGGGAGTGGTGGCAGGGGTGGAGGTGTCGGTGGCGGCAGTGGAGGTGGAGGCGGCAGCGGTGGTGGCGGTGGGAGCGGAGGTGGCGGAGGTGGCGGCGGTGGAGGAGGCGGCGGCGGAGGAGGTGGAGCTGGTCGGGGTGGCGCTGCAAGAGGGTCGGCTCCGGTGGTGGTCAGCGCCAGCAGCAGCAGCAGCAGCGCACTCGTGTCATCCCCCCCCCTCAGCAGCTCCGTGAGTGGTACGCTGCACGCCAGCGGGGTGGGGGTACTGGTCCGTGCACCTACATCCTACGCACCGGCGACCGCGCGGGTGAGCAGTGCGGGGGTGCGCACTCCACCCAGCGCTGCTTTGGCCGCCTGACGGACGCTTGGCGTCACCAGTTCCTTGAGGCCACTGAGATCCCCCGCTGGGGCGAGCTGTCTTGGGCGAGAGTAGCTGTCTTTGACCTTGACTTAGATGTTATTCTTGCTGCCATGTTTGCTGTGACTATTAGTGATGAGGGTGACTGTTACCGGTGTTTTCCGCCCGACCCGGGCATTGAGACTACTGCTCTAAGTACTGGTGAGGCTGCTGCTCTAGGTGCTAGCGAGGCTGCTGCTCTAGGTGCTCGTGCGTGTGCTCCCTCAGGTGCTGGTGAGTCTGCTCTCTCAGGAACTGCATCGGCTTCGGCCTCCCACACCTTCACCCTTGACTTGAGGGCTTCTTGCTCCTTCTTTCGAGACCGCACCATATTCACGCCGCTTGGCCGGCCAGTTGCAGTCTCTCTTGTAGACCCCTTTGGGGGTCCTGTCCTTGCTCACTTCTCCACTGTCCTCCCGTGTCCGGCGGCCCCCTCTGGCACCCTGTCTGGTCTTTACCTCCCCTCGTTCTCTACAAACTTGGTGAGTGGTGCTGACCTACAGGATGCGGGGGTTCACTAGTTCACTCCTGCGCGTCAGCGGGTGACCTACTGCACGGACGCTCGGACAGGCCGACACCTGGCCACGTTTACGCGTCACCTCGTCAGTGGCCGCTCCTGTGTACCATTCCAAACCGCCACGTCAGGCCCAACCCTCACATGCCGCCACGCCACACCCTTTTGCATCCGCCAACAACCCGTCCTACTTGCCACGTCACACCCCCACCAAGAGCGACGTCACCCCCCACCCACCTGAAACGCCTCGCTTTGTCATGCGCCGCTCACGTGTACCCTTGTAGGGTGCCACGTCATCCCCAACCCTCACCTTCCCCCACGTCACACGCACCTGCATCCGCCACGTCTTTCCCAACCCTCACCTTCCGCCACGTCACACCCTCCTGCATCCGCCACGTCCACCAACAACCAGCCCCACGTGCCACGTCACACCCTCCTGCATCCGCCACGTTCACCAACAACCAGCCCCACGTGCCACGTCACACCCTCCCACCCCATGCCACGTCACCCCCCACCCACCTCTCACGCGTCGCCTCGTTACGCGCGGCTCCTGTGTACCATTCCAAACCACCACGACAGCCCCAACCCTCCCATTCTGCCACGCCACACCCTTTTGCATCTGCCAACAACCCGCCCTACTTGCCACGTCACACCCCCCACCAAGAGCCACGTCACACCCCCCACCAAGAGCCACGTCACCCCCCACCCACCTGAAACGCCTCGCTCCGTCATGCGGCACTCCCTTGCACCCTTTCACACCGCCACGTCATATCCCAACCCTCACCTTTTGCCATGTCACACGCACTTGCATCCGCCACGTTCACCAACAACCCGCCCCACTTGCCACGTCACACCCACCCACCCCATGCCACGTCACCCCCCACCCACCTGATACGCGTCGCCTCGTCACGCGCCGCTCCCGTGTTCCCTTCGAACCCGCCACGTCAGCCCCAACCCCGACCTTGTTGCCACGTCAACCCCAACCCGCCCCATTTGGCCCGCCACATACTGGGAATGGGTTTGTCTCCTGCAACACTAGCACTCGTGCCTTGTCCACGGCGCTCATCGGCGGCGGGGTACCAGCCATAGGCAGGGCTGCCGGCCCGCCGACATAGCTGGCAGGTACTCCACGACGCAGGCCGAGCTGTGCAAACATGGCGTACATCTCAGACCGCAGCGCCTGGAACTCCTCCCGTGTAACAAACTGCTCGTGCTCCTCACTTTCACCTAGGGCACCCATGAGCGGAGGAAAAGGGTGTGAAGAATCCCCCCTCTGGCCAAGGGTATCAACGTCTTCTGCAGCAGTCCCGTGTGCCCTCACACTATCACGCTGGCGGGAAAAGGGGAGCTCAGGGAAGGGATTGGCATAAGTGCCTGCGTGATGCCCGCGCGAAGGACCGGCGATGGGGGAGACCGCCCTGCCCCGGACAGGAGAAGCGTGGAGTTGCCGAAATGGGTACGAGGGTGAGGCGAGTGAGGAGTGCGTGACGGGGACGGGTGGAGGGGATTCGGATTCCTCTCCTCTTGGCGCGCCGGGTGCCGTCGCAGCGACTTTGCTGGGGCCGGCCCATGGCGTGTAGAACCTTGGTGCACCGGACGAGAGCGGTGTAACACTCGCTATCCCGGCAGCCTTCGTTAGATGCATTCGTTGCACGCTTAAGGGCGGCCCAATGCCTGTAACGCGAGGGGCTGAGATGTAGAGGGAGTGGGAAAATAAAAATTGGAGTCGATCGGTTTCAAGGCGGGGCCAGACATGCATGCATATTCAGAAAGGTTTGAATCTAGATCGGGTTTAGGGTTGTACTGGTTTGAGACAAGAGGGTTTACCTTGCTTGGCAGATTCGTCAACCTTCTCCTTCCCTGCAGGAGAGAAACAATGTGAATAAAGGGTGTTATTTGGGACGGTTTAGCAGATTGTTTAACACGTCACGCCAGTTGTATTGGACACAATGCTCACCTTTCTGTTGTCCCTTCGGTTTTGGGGCAGCCTGCGCCTTCTCGTTGCCACCTTTCCGCGGGGTGCTTCGGCGCACGCTGCGACGTTTACCGGCAGGTTCCTTCTTGTCGGTACCCACTCGAACCCCTTTGGCGCGGCCACCCTTTCCTCCTCCATCCCCTTTTGCACCCTGGCTCCCTTGCTTTTTACCAACCCCTTCACTTTCGACCTTCACCTTACGCGCCTTCGGTTTGCCCGCTGCTTCGCCGCGCGCAGCGTCAGCTGCCCCGCGTTTTCGGGAAGGGCGAGTCCGGCCCCCCTCCTTCCCTGTCCCACTCACCCGACCGCCGCCCGCCCCGTCTCTTCCCTGGCGCCACATCCTCCTCCTCCTCCTCCTCCTCCTCCTCCTCCTCCTCCTCCTCCTCCTCCTCCTCCTTCTCTGATGCCTCCTCCTCCTCCTCCTCCTCCTCCTCCTCCTCCTCCTCCTCCTCCTCCTCCTCCTCCTCCTCCTCCTCCTCCTCCTCGTCACCCTGCTCCTCCTCCTCATCCCCCTCCTCCTCCTCCTCCTCCTCCTCCTCCTCCTCCTCCTCCTCCTCCTCCTCCTCCTCCTCCTCCTCCTCCTCCTCCTCTTCGTCCTCCCCGCCATCATTCTCATCTTTAGCATCCTCCCCGACATCCGCGTCTTGCTCCTCCGCTTCCTCTTCATCCTCCTCTCCCTCCGCATCCTCCTCCTCATCCTCCTCCTCCTCCGTATCACCGGGGTCTTCATCGCCCTGTTTCGGCCTCGTTCCTGTCGCTGCTTTCTTGCCTCTCCTTCCGCCAGATGCTTTTCTTGCTGCGGGGCGGCCCTTCTGGCGCAATGCTTGACCGCCCGCCTTGCCACTAGCTTCCTTGGCGCCTCGCGGTGTGTCAACTTCCGCGCCTCCGGCGTTGTCAGCACTACCTGTCGTCTGGCGCCTCTTCGCTCGCGTGGTGAGGTCCCCGGGCACGGCGGTGTCATCATCCTCCTCCCCATCGCTCTTCCTTTGCCTACGCCTTCCCCGTCCACCTGAAGGAGGAGAGCCACCGACCAGCCCCACCGACTCGTGCTGTGCCACCTTGTCTTTATCCAGTACGGCTGCAGAAACTTCGACCACGCTCGTCTGGAGCAGCGTCAGATGGTGTTGCGTTGCCGCCTCCTCGGACTCCTTGGTTGCGGCATGCTCGGCGCGAGGATCGCCTCCGTGATTTCCCCCTGTCGCCGAACCCTCCATCTCCGCCGACGGGAGTGCAAGACTCGCGCTCCCTCGCCCCGGATCTTCGTTGCCGCCAGTGGTGCCGTCTTTACTCGGACCGGGCTCGGTTCCAGCAGAGGCACCATCCGCAGCTTTGTTCACTGTAGAAACACGCTTGCGTGGCGTTGGTTTAGGCCCCTTGTCTGCCGCTTTCTTGCCGGCCTCCTGTTGACCGCGCGCGACCTTTTTTGCCGCCGCTTTTTTCGGCCCAATGCCACGAGCGACGGACGCATTGTTTTTTTTAGCGCCGCCACCACTCTCCCTATCGATTTGTTTAGACGTCCCCCTTGTCGCGCGGCGGCCGACCTGTTCCTCCTCCATTGCTTGGTTACGTGTTGCACGTGTCATGGTAATCGTAGGAAGAGCAAAGTTGCAAATCGCACGGAAGGGTTGAGCCGGTTGCGAAAGGGTTTTGCTACTGAATCCCACGAAGGCATAATCGGCCGTCTATCACTGTTATGTGTTTACGAAAACAGCCGCTTCAACTAAGTCTGAAATAGTAGCCACTATGCTTCGCGCTAAGGCCGATCTGGAGAGGCGTGTGTCAAGGCAACGAGCAGCGTCAAAGTGTTGGCCCAGGGAGTGACGGAAGCAGGTGGGTGGGGCACGAGGGTGGTTGGGGTGAGTTGCGAGACTAGAGAGAGAAATGTAACCCTATCAGGCTACATTGGACGGTGTACGTGTAGCCACCCTAGCATAAACCCACCTTCCGCTCGATCTCAGCCGCCCAATGGCTGAAGTACCTCTTGGCTGATGACTGTGTTGCGGGGGGAATTGTTTGAGATGCGTCGGCCAATGACGGTTGCCAACACATCAATCACAACAAAGGGTAAACCTGGTGTGAAACCTACAGTGCGAAATTAGTCAAATCCCTGCAAAGTACAGTGTTTTCGGTTGCAAAGTAACAACGCATTTCATCAAACTCTAAGTTGCAACTGGTTTTGTACGGGGTTGGGGTAAGTTAATCGGTGATTCTCACGTCACACACACAACGACCGTCTTGAATTATTACTTAGGAAAGATGTACTGCGCACTTTTAGGCTTTGCCACAATGGTTTAGGGCCAGCGGACGTCATTCTAACACGATTATCAATAATAACAAACGTGAATCCGTTGTGGTATGGTGTTGGATTGTCATCCATTCTTGCACAGACATTACATAAGGTGCTTAGAAGGAGTGGTATGAAGCACAGGCCCAACGCACAAGCGTAGATGCGTTATCGACAGTCATGTTTAGACTGTGCGACGATGCATCGTTCAGGCCTCCGCGTTGCGCGACTTGGTGAATCCGTTGTGGTATGGTGTTGGATTGTCATCCATTCTTGCACAGACATTACACAAGGTGCTTAGAAGGAGTGGTATGAAGCGCAGGCCCAACGCACAAGCGTAGATGCGTTATCGACAGCCATGTTTAGACTGTGCGACGATGCATCGTTCAGGCCTCCGCGTTGCGCGACTTGGTGAATCCGTTGTGGTATGGTGTTGGATTGTCATCCATTCTTGCACAGACATTACACAAGGTGCTTAGAAGGAGTGGTATGAAGCGCAGGCCCAACGCACAAGCGTAGATGCATTATCGACAGCCATGTTTAGACTGTGCGACGATGCATCGTTCAGGCCTCCGCGTTGCGCGACTTGGTGAATCCGTTGTGGTATGGTGTTGGATTGTCATCCATTCTTGCACAGACATTACACAAGGTGCTTAGAAGGAGTGGTATGAAGCACAGGCCCAACGCACAAGCGTAGATGCGTTATCGACAGCCATCCATTCTTGGATATTCGTTCTTCACGGTGCGGCACGATATATGTATTTGCTCCAAGCACCAATCATACGTTACGGCATGGAGTTACCGGGTAGTTCCCGTATCGTTATCGAGTAAGGATTGTTCAAGAACAGTCCCAAGGATATGAATGTTTACTATTTATGAATGATACGAGTTTCTTGTTAAGTTGTAACTGTACATATGCATTTCCAGGTTTGTTTGACGCCTCTATAGCTCACCTACGTAATTCCGATTTTGAGGCTATATCGATTCGCGACACAATCAGAGATCCAAACGGATCTCTTCCCGCTCTTCCTCATCCTCCTCGACTCTCACGCACAGTTCATAAACACTTGTTCTAGACTCAATAGGCACGTCCTTCTTGCCTTGCTTGCGAATCACACACACGACCATGAGACTTAAGATCCAGTGCATCTCCCCTGGCCACGTCGTGGTCGCTGTAAACGGGGGCGACACGCCTTGTAGGGCAGACGGCCCGTGCTATGGGCGGTCTGTATCGTGCCTGGTAACGACCACGCGGCTCGACAACGTTAGCTAGTCATATACATTAGCGCGTGCGTCAAGTGCCAGTCGTGCAGTGATACAAGCCGCCCACCACAGTGCGCGCATTGGCGATGATCGTGTAGCTGTCACAGACTTCTTGAACGGGGTAGTTAATGCGTTCACAAGCTTCATCACGGGTAGTAGCTTCATAGGCCAGGTCTCGACTCTACAACGGATCCGTAATTGATGGGCTCTTTACCAGGCGTCGTTTGCGAGTTCTGCAACAGATGGTTCCCCAACGCCCAAGTTTATGGTGGTCATAAGTCACGGCGGACCCCTTGCCAAGGAATATCCGCCGTGGCGAGGCCCACGCAATCTGCACCGACCGCCGGTCTTCACGCTTTGCTATTCGTCCACGACATTCTGTTGGACGCTCCAGCCGCTCCCGGTTCACCAGCGTCTAACGCATCCAACGCCGTCAGTGTGAGCCGACCTCCACGCGTTCCTGATGCTCACGTTGACGAAACTCCCAACGACGTGAACGAGGGGCCTCCTGAAGATGAACATCAACCACGGCATGGAGCTCCTGCGGCTGAGACGACTGACCATCCTGAGAGCCGGCCCGAAGGGAGTCATGCCGCGCCGCCAACCGTCATCTCCGGACAGAGCAATGCCATGCCCCTCAATCCGCTCGCGTTGAAGCTACTGCATTTCGTCCGGCGCGTGAATGGCGGAATGGGAATGGCCGAGGTTGACATCAACGGCCTGCTTCAGCTAGTCGTAGAGCCCGGCCTTGCGCCTCTTGTGAACTCGGAGCTCCGGAACTGTAAGGATCTGGAGCGGTTCGAGTTGGAGCGCTTGGCAGGGCTCAATCGCGGATGGTCGGTGGCGACCTTCGAGATTGTCGGTCATCCACCACAGCGCTTGCTCTTCCAGAACTCAGCCCAGGTAAGCCGACTTTGCATTCAAGGCCGTGAAATGATGATGAGGCACACAGGGTTTGCATGTACTTAGTTATCCTTGTATTAACCGTACACCCACCTTCTCCGCCACGAACCATGCCTCTCCTCTCACCTGCTTTCGCCACCGTACACCAGGCATTCGCTGAAATGTTTGGACATCCCAACAACGCGCCCGGCTTCAAGCTCAAGGCGCGTGTAGATGAGGACCCTGACGCAGGCGGCCGTCGCTATACCACGCCCGAAACAGGAACGTGGTGGAATGATGCTCAGGTAAGGAAAGACCACGTTGCCACCCCAAACCCAATCCTGAGTCATGCATCCATCGCAGCACTGATCTCTCAAGAGCATCTTGAGTGTTAAACCGTGTGTCCGTTGCCGCTTTGTCGTGCACTGCAGGAACACTTCGGTTGGTCCGAAGTTGTGGGGGGGATCATCTTATATTCGGATGTGACGCACATGAGCAACAACGGCCGGAAAAAGGCGTGGCCGCTCATGATGACGCTGGCGAACATCGCCCAGGCCAAGCGATGGGGGAAAGCCGGTCACACACTACTTGCCCTCCTTCCAATCCCCCCATCTGCAATGTCTGCCGTGGAGAAGGTGATGCTCTTCCAGCGTTGCGTCATCACCGTGCTGCAGCCGCTTCTTGATGGCATCGCCAGGTCCGTACTCGGTTTGCATCTTGCTAAGACATCATCTCACCACCTGCATGGTATGCAAACCCTCTCTGTATGTAGCATGGCCCTTTGCCCCTCGTCGTTCCTCCCTAAAAGCCGCAACCTTGAATGCATGTTGCCACTCACTCCATTCCTTGCAGCGGGTTCCGTCTCAGGGACCCTTTCGGAGATTGGCAAACCGTGCGGCCCCTGCTGTACGCCTGGGTGTGCGACTACCCCGAGAGCGGCAAAATCAGTTGCACACTCTCGCATGGATCGCGGATGCCGTGCAGCATCTGCTATGCTGCAAAGGTGAGGTCACATGCCATCTGCACGCATTCAATTACATTCCCGTTTGTGGCTCGCCTGAGCGAACCCACATAGCTACCACCCTTACCTTTTCTATCCCATCCCTCGGCCCCGTGCTACAACAGGAGCATCTGAGTGCTGTCAAGGCACAGAACACGCCGCGCACGCCTGAACAGCAGCAATGGATCGTTAACGAGGCGGCGGGGACGACAACTAGCCAGGACAACCCGTGCAAGGCCTACTCTACCTACCCTGTTGAGGTGAGTGACCTGTTTCCCCGGCCCATGAGTAGTCTATGCTCTCGCCCGCCCCGTCATGAATTGCCAGATGTGCTCTGCCCCATTGAACTCACCCGACTTGTGGTTTAGATTACCTATCCACTCTCACGTACATCTCTCCTCCATTCCCCACCACATCCCCATTTCCAGTGCGTGCTCTGGAAGTGGGATGTCCCAGGGACCGCGTGGGGCAATCCCTACCTCGTGGTGATGCCTGACATCATGCACCAGGCGGACCTAGGCATCATGAGCCACATTGTGGCTGTCGTGCGCAAGATGAAGAAGCGGCGTGTGAAGCAGATGGACAGGTCAGTGTTTTGGGGATTGGATTCGTTGCTCCTGGTCACAATTACTCAAACCATAAGTTCTGTCCTATTACTGACCTGTTTCTGCCCTTTTGGCGCCGCTGAACTGATGTGTATGGGCAGGCGCCTGTCTCTCATTCGCGACCGCACGCGCCTGAATCACATGCGCCTGCCGGAGAGCGCCTACTTCGAGACCGGCGCA